CAATTTTTACACACTCATCATGCAAATCCTGATTTTCTAATTTACATTGATTATACATTTGCTTTAATTTTTCAACACTGCCATTTGTTGCTTCTTTCAAAGTAGAACCTATAAATTCTGTTTCCATTGAATTTTCAAATTGCTTATTCAAAGATCTCCTGGTTGGATATTTATTTAAAGGTGAAGAAGTCATAACACTATCTGGAGATTCTTGTATAGATTCTAGAGACTCTTTTTGCTCAACCTGTTGTGAATGACCGGGTTTTGGTTTTTGTTTTATATGTACTAAATAATCGATTAATTCATTTAAATGACATAATTCAATGTGTGGTTGAGTGGATAAAGTTGATTTTATGCTATTTATAAGCATTATTGATGTCTGAGGAGATTCGTGATCTGATTTTTGTAAATTCTCAACCTGCCAAACAACATAAAAATAATATAATAAATTTAAACTATATAATTTTAAATATTTTACTAACTTTATTCCATGATTCCAATTCAGACTCAATTGTATATGTTTCAAATGTATTTGTACAATCACTTCCACCTTCTTCAACAGAAAATTCTGTAGTAAATTCTTTCACTTTGCCAAAACAGTTAGGACTATTTTTTTCCGCCAAGAAATTTCTAACATTACTATCAAACGACCTATCAGTACCTACATTTTCTATCCTAAAAAAACAACCACAAAACTAATATGAATAAATGGCACATTTTTTAACGGTTTAAACTGAATATTGCAGTACATACATTTTAGTTGCTTCAAGCTCTATGACCAGTTCATCATTTTGATCTCTAAGACACTTATTTTCATTTTTCAAACAATCAATTTTTTGCATGAGATCAATAATTTGTTCATTGTTAGATTCCAGTTCTAGTTCCTATAGTTTAGTTAAATACAAAAAAAGGATTAACCTTAAATCAAGTGTAATTTATTTAAGAATACTTAATTTTACTTAATACTCAATATATTTTTAAATTATGTTATAATATAACTACTATATATACATATTTATAAGCTAACATAGGATAATTTAAATTATGGTTGCCAGTCTTAAAAGGTGAGAACAATAAAATATTCACAAAATTAATAAATTAAAGGAAACATTACCTTAAGTTTTAAATGTGGAATTTCTTGTACTTGAACTTCTAATGAAATATTTTTTTGTTTTATATCATCTAATTGTTTATTTAATGCAGTATTTTCACTTTCTAATAAGTTAAGTTGCTAAAAAAAAAAAAATGCATTTTAATTAACACTTAATAAAATTATTAATTAGTTTTCTATACCAAACATACTTTTTTATTATTTAAAAGTTCAGATTGTAATTCGTTTTCATAATTTTGTACTTGTTGTAGTTTATCATTGAGCAAAATATTTTGGTGAAGTAATTGATCTTTTTCTGAACCCCATTGATCAATAAGTGTTTTTCTTTCTTCTTGATGTTTGTGTTCCAGAGCACTAAAATATATTACATTCATCAATTAGAAAATTTGTTAATTAAAGTATACACAAAATTTTTTAAATTTATTCTTACGCAATTTTATTTGCTGAAGATTTTTCCAATCTCATATGATTTTCATCAACTTCTTGCGCAAGCATTACTGCTCTGTTGTTGGCAGTATCAACATCATACTTTAATTTATCTCTTTCACAGTTCATTTGCTCAATAATCATTCTGAAAATAAATTGTATATAAATATTAGTAAAGAAAATAATATCATTTTAAATTGTGTTCTTACTTGAGCCATTTAACCTGATATTCATTTAATAAATTTAAAGCTTTTAGCAAAACAAATGGTGCATTAAATGAATCATATTCTGTTAATGAAGAATCAACAAAATTATTTCGAACTTTATGGAGTTGATTGCTGATAGTAGTTACTAGATCAGGTACATAAACAGAATCCTGGGATGTATCAATTCCTAGTTCTTGTAATAGGTTAACAGATTCTGGTATACCACAGCTTTCCCATAGTTCAATAATAGTGCTTATACTCACCATCCTAATAAAAATCATACATATTAACTTACATTTTATCATTAGTAAATTAATAAATTATATATAACACTAACATCGAGTTTGGTAAATTATCTTCTCTATGATAATATGATGTTGAAGAGACTCCTGATGTTGATGTTTCAGAATTTGGTGATACAGATCGATAATCTAGGCAACTGATTAATTCAAGAACTTCTTTAATTGGTATTCTGTCATTAGAATATTTATCATTGATTTTCTCAAATAATTTTTCATTGCAGTCAAAATGTTGGATTACATCAAATAATTGAGTTTTTGATATAAGTCCATTAGAAGTAATACCCAAGTGTTCACAAGCCAGACTTAAATTGTGTTTATCCATTATCAATCGTTCTTTTAACAAATCTAAAGACAATATTTTATTTTTAACAAGACTTATAAAATTACTATCTGAATAAAAGTGGTTTTCTTAACAACTACTTACCATGCTTATCATCACATTGTGATATGTCTTTATTCTGTGTTTCCTCATCCAATTTAAACTCAGAATTTATCTGTAAATTCACAAATCATAATGTACTTACAGATCTTGAAAATAAATATTTAACTTACATGAACATATTCTAATTTTCGAGGAGTTAATGGTATACTGCTGTTCAAATCTTGAGTTATATCTGATTGATTTAATATAAAGCTGTCTTCTCGAGGCTTAGTTCTGCGGCCATATTTTTTTTCACCAAAAACATATTTAGGAGATATTTCTCTAACTATAATGTGGGAATAAAAACTAAATTATTAAATAACCATATAAAATTAAAAGTATATAAGATAATGATTTGCTTAATAAGGTTGCATTAAGCTATGTTAACGTCCTTCAAAATCAGACTGGAATTGAAAAAACTTTCACTATTGTTATGATATAAACAAGTTTATGATAAATGGTTTCTAATACTTATTGATCTTTATATTATTTATTATTCTGTCATATAGTAATAAACTTTAACATAATATTGTTATCATTTATCAAAAAAATATACAAATATTTAACTCTAAAAGAGTAAGTTGTAAGATTTAAGTCATCTCAATAGTCAAATGTACAAAAACTTTTAATTTTTAATTTTTTTTATATTTTAAGAGACATGAAATTATTTTTTAACCTTATCTGTAATACCATAATATTGTAGGTAAGTATTATAAATTGTAGCAATAATATGATAAAAGTTTTATTTTGTGCAATAATGAATAATACATTATATTTTATAATATATAATATATTTTAATGTCCACTTAACATTCCTAACAAAGAAGTTATTTACATTAATAGGTAATAAATCCAATAATATGCACAAATAAGCCATAAAAGTAATTTAGATAGTAAAATATAATTTTTATAACTAATTTTATACATAGAATTTTAAATAAAATTGCAAATAATTTGATATTAAACATAGAAATTATTTAAATATTTTTATTTATTAAATTATGTACTAATAACTTGATTATAGTAAAATAAAGTACAATTAATATTAAATCATATAATATGTGTATGGTGTATTTATGTAGGTTCTATTTACTTCATTTTTATTGTTTATCAGTATTTTTTTAAAAAACTGACCAAATCAAGTAAACAATTTAAATAGAACTATAAAAAAATTTATATTTTGAATTCAATTTCAATTTTAAAATAATCTAACAACATTTATAAAAAGGAATTTAATAAAATTATCAAGTATACCTACAATTAGACATTTACAGAACATTTTTTTAAATAATTATTAATTCTAATAAATAAAAACATAGGTGGTTAAGATAGGTACAATTACTGTTTATTACTTAACCTATTGATGTTGGTTTATTCCCACAAAATAAACGAATGTCAATAATGTATGATGATAAAAAAAAATAAATAGGCTTATCTGTGTATATTTTATATATAATAATAGATAAGTGAAGTGAAAGGAATGTTGAAAACAAGGTCAAACATACCTACCAGAAGATATAAAAATTAAACAATATTTGAAAAATTTTATAGAACATAATAAACACCACATAATTCTATCAAAAATATTTTAGTTACCTTGTTTATGTAAAAATATATAATTTAACTATGTTCTTACCGGGAGAGATGTCTCTAGAATAAGTTTCATTTTTCGAGTCATTATTGGCCAAATAAACAAGAGCATCACGGAATTGTTCAAATGAAACAGAAGAATTCTGATCCAAGAATGACCATAATTGTTTACGTTGGCTAAAATCCAACTGTAATGTTTCACAAAGAGCATTCACTCCCTTATGATCCAATTCATCATTTTCATCACTATCAAAACTTTTGAATATGTTATACAATTCTTTTTCATATGGTTCTTCCATAACTGTGGGTAAAAATCATCACCAGCGCTAGAGAAAGCATCAAGACTATAAGTTGTGTTAATATCAATAATCATTTTGAATAACACATTTTTTTCTTTTATTGTTGATAAGTTATAACTCATTAACAACAATAAATCAAAACTAGACATTATAAAAAGGAGAATAAATTATAATCAATTGTAAACCAATGTTGGATTATGAGCATATTGAAACTTAATAATTTAATTTATTTCACTGGCAACTGCCACAATATGTCAACAGAGTAGGTTAATTGATAAAGGAATCCTTTCAAATTAATATTAATACAAAGTCCACTCACCAATTAGTAGATGTGATCGTAAATTTATGGTTGTAGTCACTTGATACACGGTGTTACAACAAACGAACATTTATTGCTTTCACACTAATTAATAGAACTCGGAAAACATATTTTCTATTCTCGGCGGCGACGACAAGTATATTGTTATAATTTATAATGATCAGTGATCACACATAAATACAAAATAGCAATCGGAAATTGCTTTTATCAGCCTTTTCTCGAGTGGTAGTGGGGTGGCATGAATAATGTTATCACTATCCAAGGATGTTATAAGCTACAAGCGCAATCTCACTGGCCACACGACATTTTTTGAGGTTACTTCCTTTACAAATTTTGTGAATTTATAAAAATGTAATATACTTAACAAAATACATTTAAAAAAAAAAATAAACAAAATTCTATTCTAAAACAAATCAAACATTATTGTGAATACTTGTTTCAATTTTTAACAAATAGTAATACAACAGTAAGTCTTTTTAACCCTTATTATTATAATTTATAAACTGTAATACTTTTTGACTAACATTTATGGCATCTATTGTTGAATGATAACATTTCTGAAATGTTTTTAAGCATTTAAGTTTTAACTTTTAATTGATAACAAAATTTGTACTTGGTGCTTCAAGCTTCAAGCTTATAATCATTTTAGTTATATAAATTGTGAAGGTGTATGTAACAGTTTACTTATTACTTATTAAGTAGCTCAGCATTATCTTCTACTTAAAGCATTGTATGGCTACTATCTATATAAAATGTACAATTTAAAAACTAAACTCTATAAAATTGATAGTGTGTATTTGGTCTTGAAATCGAGACTTTAAATATCACTTTTAGAAACTGATCAATTTTTATTAAAAAAAATTATATATTAATAATGATATGTATATGTTGTTTTTAAATTTTAATTTGCCTCTGAATTACACAAGTGATAATTCTCAGCTAAATAAATCACCAAAAAAAAAAAATTGTATTAAATTTACTTGCATTTGTTTGTAAGCATTTAAAGTTTAATTTTTAAACCTTGACTTATTCCGTTGATATTCTTTTTTTATAAATATAAATTTATAGAACTAGAAACTTAAACGTAACTATTTTAAAGTTATATAACTTATATTTCTTATAATATTATTCATATCATATCCAATATATTTTTATTTCATTTTATTTTCAGAAAAATAAATCATGCCACAAAATGAATATATGGAACGGCACCGTAAATTATACGGTCGCCGATTGGATTATGAACAACGAATGCGTAAGAAAGAAGCTCGTGAGCCTCATTTACGTTCAGATAAGGCGAAACGTCTTCGTGGTCTAAAAGCTAAATTATATAACAAAGAGCGTCGTAATGAAAAGATTCAAATGAAGAAAAAGATCAAGGAGCATGAAGAAAAATTACAGAAAAAGAAGGAAGAGAAACCCAAAGAAGGTGCATTACCAGTTTATTTACTTGACAGAGATGTTCAATCGAGTGCCAAAGTACTTTCTAATATGATCAAACAGAAACGTAAAGAAAAAGCTGGAAAATGGGATGTACCTATACCCAAAGTGCGTGCTCAATCAGATAATGAAGTATTCAAGGTATTTAGAACAGGCAAATCTAAGAGGAAAGGATGGAAGAGAATGGTAACAAAAGTATGTTATGTTGGAGAAGGTTTTACTCGTAAACCTCCTAAGTTTGAAAGGTTTATAAGGCCAATGGCTTTACGTTTCAATAAGGCTCATGTTACTCATCCTGAACTTAAGGCTACATTTTGTCTACCTATTATTGGTGTAAAAAAGAATCCTAATTCTCCAATGTATACAAATTTAGGAGTTATAACTAAAGGTACTGTTATAGAAGTAAACATTAGTGAGCTAGGTCTGGTAACACAATCTGGTAAAGTAGTATGGGGAAAATATGCACAAGTCACTAATAATCCAGAAAATGATGGATGTATTAATGCTGTACTTTTGGTTTAAGTTCTTATGTTTATTTGCTTCAATTGTAAATAATGAAATAAATATCCATTTTATTACACTCATTGGTTTTTTTTTATAATTAAAATATTCCTTTTGTTTTCTACAAATTGTAAGTTAAAGGTTTGAAATAGCTTATGTGTTATTATTTTGCTTTTGAATTATATATAATGTATTTTGAAAGTTTACCATAGATTGGAAATAAATTACTCTTACAAAAATATTTGTCAGCGCTATCATTTAGTATATATTAACTTTATTCCAAAAGGTCGTTTTCAGAGGCAGGATTAGTGTATGAAGCTAAAAGAAATAGACTTAAGCCTCAGAATACTGAACAATTTTTGTTCGTTCACTATAATTTAAATAAATATTATTAATTAATAATTACTGACAGGGTATGTAATATTAAATACCTATTATAATTTTATATGTTTCTATGTTAATATTTAATGGTAAATCTGTTAATATGTAGGTACTTAGTTTATATTAATATTTCTGTGTTTGGCTAAATAGAATATTATAATAATTACAGGGGTGGACTGAGGGGGCTCCCCCCCCCGATATTTTAAGAAAATTTAAAAATTATTTTATATTATTATGAAAATAAAATATCCTAAGTATTTAAAGTATACAAGTATATCAAATCAATATATGTTAAGGGTTATAGGAACAAAAATGTAAAATAAAACTTCAGCATCTGCATGTTCAAATTATGGAAGAACCTAAGTAAACCACAGCTATATAAAAAAATTAAAACCTAGGTATGAATAGTTATCATGATGGAGTGATGAACTTATTTTAGTAATTTGGACAACGATTCAGTAAAACTGCCATCCGACAGTTTCAATCATCAATCATGACGTGTAATATTATCCTGGGTGGACGAAGGAGATAATAATGGACAATAAGTCGCATGTTAGTATTATAATAGGAGCAATTGAGACCGGGTTTACGATAATATGGCACGGCATACCTTTTTAAGTTACTGTTCGAGATATATTATGATATTTTTTCCCTTGCGATAAGTTCGGCGACTTTATCGTCGCCCTCTTCCCCTCTTGCCTAATGTGGCATCGGCGTTCCCTGACCACTGCTGTTCGTCAATACGACCGTACACTCACTCTCTCGTGCGACCGTCTCCGGGACGTCGCTCGCTTTTGTTCTTACGCGTGTGCGTGGCTAATATAAGGCCATTTTGTGTGCCCGTAGCACTTGTGCCTTTTGGTTTTTGTGCTGGCCTTGTGTGCCGTGTTCTGCCGTCGTCACATTTGCCGCGTGTTGAAGCGACTCCGCATCTTGTACGTGTCGAAATTAATATTATATACACATATATATCATCTATATATATTATATACACGTGGACCCTGAGGTTACGAGCCGGCGTCATAATTGTTATATTAACAATATCAGTGTTCCAGCACACTTATTCCAACGATCATACTGCCTTGGACCAGGTCAGCGACATTTTATTATTATTATTTGTATTGGAAGAATTGGTTGTTATTATTACTATTATTATTATTTCCTTTTTTTTATATTATTTGGGCGCCCTAAATTTATTATTAGTATTATTATATTATGTAATACGTTACACCTCTTTTTAGTATAAAATATATATATTGTAGCACGACGGTGCGTCAACCTAAATTGCGTGTAATTCTTAAAAGTTGTCTAATTGCCCTCTCTTAATACGTAAGGTAAAACAAAATACTCTGGGTGTTATTATATTTGCCATCCTAGGCCAACCGCCCAAGCAGGAGCCTGGTGGAACAGTTACTATACCCGTCATCAGTGGCGGCGGGACATAGTATTATTTGAAGCAATTGCTTCATGTCTAAAAGCCCTTTGGCCAATGCTGCTTGTTAGAGATGGTGGTAAAAATATTTAAAATATACAATACGCTTCAAATCCTCCACAATTTCGCGCAGCCACTGCCCGTCATAATTTATTTTATTTAATAATATTATAGACGTTAATTAAAGGTTTACTAGAATATTTAATCACAAGCCGTTATCAATTACTTTTAATCAAATCCAAATTATAAATTGTTCGAACTCTGTGTTGTGCCATGTTCAAATTATCCGCCGATTCGGCGATTAGCACATCTTCGGATCTTCCTCCCCGTGCCACCGGACTTCGCTATCGACTTTATCGTTTTTATCTATATAATATTACCCATGTGCGATATGATCGCCGCTTGACCGATGCGGGTTCGGTTGGCGTTGTCCGTCGCGCTTTTTGTCCGCAGCGGCCGGCTCGGATATGTCTTTTTTGTGTCGCACATTTTTAAGTCGCGTGTGTGTAAAACGAGTGATAATATATTCACGTAAACGACGGGTGCGTGTTTTTCATTCCTGTTTTCCTTTTTGTGTGCGTGTCGGCCGTGTCGTTCAATGGCGGTCAAATGATTTTGTCATGGGAAGGGATGTGACTGACTTTTTAATATGCATTAATATGCTATTATGGTTAAGACTAATATCAATTTTTTTAATTAAGGTAAATTAGTACTTTATTTATAACTATATATATATATATATATATATATATATACTATAACTATATTTTATAAATATATAATAATTAATAGACTATAGACAATATCTATTACAATTTACAGTAAACTCGACAGTATAAATATGTATCAAGCGCGACCAGTATGACTACAAGACACGACTGTCGACTACACGAGTAACGACTAACGAGTACGAAACCCAAAACACTGTGGTCTGTGTAACAAAATATTCTGACAAATGTAATAATAATCGATGTTTTGGTTAACTATAATGATATTATAGCCACGTATTATTGTATTAAAACGTTTCGGCCGATGGGCTGGGCAAGGGAGGAATATGTTATTATTAAATATTCACGATCACCGAGCTGGGAATTCCCACGTATTTTGTATAAGCAACTAATTAATAAGTAATAATAATAATTAATAATAACAGCCTTGTTCTTAGAATGAGTCTAGAATCTATATAATAGTAATATACGCTCTTAAGCGTTATTTTGAGAAAAAATTAAAACAAAATGTAATACATTAATATTTAATATTATATTAAAGTACAAATAGTACAATATACATAAATGTAATTGTTATGAATATTCAAGAAATTTTCATGGGGGGATCTATCCCCCTCATCGCCACCGTTTGACCGCCATTGGTTTCGTTGCGCGAAACCTCGGTGGTTTTTACGCATAGACCTATGCGGCATAGTGTGTGCCCGCTCGTGCATAACGCCTAAAACTGCGTGGCTGTTATTATTAGATTATTATACTATTATTATTTTATTATAGGTGTGCGCATCACTAGTGGATCTCCGTATATTAAACTCTTGGCGACCAAGTTAAAACTTAAAACTACTGTTTTTTTTTTCTGTTGGACCAGCATTATTCACTCATCAGTGTATCATCAAGCGGAGCTGCCGTAAGCCCGTAAACCAAGTCGTTTTTGGTTGATATTATCATATTATATTCATTGCTGGGGTATTTCCCCTTATTATTATTATTTTTTTATTTTGTGTAATTCCGAGTACGGATATATTATATATTAATGTTCGTTTTATAAATGTACGTTATTACATAATATTGTACATTTTGGGCGCCCTCTCCTATAATCATAATTGTAGAATAATATTACTTATAATTATTATATATGGTACACCTTTTTTAATTATGCCATATATATATATAATATATAACGTTTAGAGTGACCTTTTACTATCTTCAACACACCGCGAGTCGTGGCAGCAGACGGCTGGAATCGTAGGGGTGATCGGGTACAAACTACAATTGTAACATTTTCCATACTATTATTTATTTATGGGAAAATTGAAACTTTTTAGCATTGATCTTGCACTCAACTTATTCAGTAACTTGTAATCTTAAGAAATATGTATAAATTGAACATTAACTTTCATAGACCATAGGTGAATCTGTAAAATCTGATCTGAAAAAAAAAGAAATGTTACAATATTATTGTAGTAATTGTACCCTGTTCTGGGTCAATTGTAACACTATGTTCGGACTTGGTCACCGTGCGCTAGGGCGGCTGAGCCCACTGCCCGTCATTGGTGGCACTGGTGGAGGACGCTTCCTTCACTTCCCGACGCGGGCCCCGGTCTGTCTATTACAGACAACGGATATTACGCCGTTACGTGGTTCGTTGCGCCATGTTGTGGTTGTCGAGTTTGTTAATTATTGTCGATGTTATCGTTGCCGTTCGTTGTTTTTCCGTCTTCGTACGTGAAAAGGAGCAGATCGTTTTTTAGCTAGTTCAGCATTAACCTTTTCTTGTTTTTTTTGTTTTTATTAAACTTGTGGCTGCCGCTAGCTCATACTCCCTTTCAGCCAGTTCAGTGATTTTGTATACCAGTTCGGAACAGTTCGTGTATTGTCAAGTGCGGTAGGTGGATTCAACAGCTCCGCAGTCCACGTGTTTGTGGACTACCTTCTCACCTTTTATTATATAATTTATTACGAGAAGTTCGCCCGCTAAAAGACAAAAGACAAACTGTCGAAAAGACAACGAATAGTTGTAGATATTTCGAATTTTCATCAAACACGTACATTTTAAAATTGTTTTGTAGTTGAAAACGTATAAAATAATCAATTTTTATAGCTAAATATCGAAATTTAATATCAGATTTCTTATTAGGAGTTTACATTGACACCAAAAGAATCCAAAAAATATATAAGTACAATTTTTCTACAGACATTTAAAACCCAAAATTGGACAAATTTATATATTTAAACAATGTAATTAACAATGTTAATTATTTTTTATATTCCTAAATTATTATTCACAGAGATTTTTTTATTTTAATATATTCTTTTAAGTTTGGTGTTATAGATTTATACGTATGACATACGTATGCCATATAATTTCCAAAATATATATATATTAATTTTATGCTAATATAGCTATTAATACTATGAACAGACCGTAAAAATATTGTTGAGGTGACCAGTTACCATATCTTACTCCCTGTTTCCACTTTGCACCCATTTCATCATCTTGTATTTCCCATTCTGGTTTATTGTGTCGTACATCTGATGTATTTATCTCTTCCCCTCTTTTTGTTTTTAACCTTGTTTAATATTTATTTTCCTTTTTCTAAAGCTAATTTATTTATTATTTCTATTGATACGTGTTTTGTTTTGTTTAATTTTTGTTACACATTCAGCCAAACTTTCAAAAATATACATTTTTTTTTTTCAATACAGTTTGAGCACTTCAGTCTTCAGGCATATTTTGTATATTTTTTTTTCAACGGTCAATATTTGTATTTGTTTATACGTTTTAATTTGAATTTTTTTTTAAAAAATGTTTATTGTTAACACAAAATATAATAAAATTAAAAATTGTTCATAAAAAAAAAATTGTATTTTTTATCGTATTATCGAATATATAAATCATTACAAAATTAACAACTTGGTGTTATGAGATAGTTAAAATATCATACACTAAAACGTAATGAATGGTTCAAAAATCGAAACAGTAGAATTATATCATTTGATAAAATAGGTATAGATCACAATTCACGGTTTCAGATAAAACAACTAGTTGACCTTTGAATAAAATATAAAATGTGTACATCATAAAAAATTACCTACGTTGAAAAAATAATAATATCTATTGTAATATGAAGTTTTTTTGAAGTAGCTTTATTCGTTCTAATGCTTCAATTCATAACACATTAAATAAACAATTTATTTCCTTGAAGTAATAAAATTGTATTAGATGGGATTATAATATCGTTGTTGTTATTTGTTGTATGTGCTTGCATACTTGTGTACTTGTACCTATATTATGACTTTCAGTTGTTTAATTATTTAAAAAATATTTATCTTAGAAAAATTTAAGTTGTGTTCAACGTTATCTTATGGCCTATGGGAGACTCAGTCTTCCGCACTGTGTGTAACTAAGTTAAAAATAACGGCAGTAGATGGCGTTGCCATTATCGCCTGGAGATGTCGAAAGCTTATTTTAACGTTCAACTCCAAACGGCTTACAGTTATATTGACAAACTTATTAGTTATTACTCATGTATTTCATAATTAATATTGAAATGAGAAAAAAAAAACATAGGTAAAAATGGTAAACATACTATCCAATGATAAATATTGCTGTTTTACATTATATAAATTTTTTGAAAAGGTGATTTGCAATATTTGCATTATACGCAAATAAACTTTATAAACCAAGTCATGTAACTTGATTATATATTGCATTATTCGTTGGTATAACCACAGGGTAAGATAAAATGTTTAAATGTAATGACTATTATTTTTATTTAATTTTTATTTTTATTAAAAATAAGCAATTTACACAGTTTATGTGGTAAGAGTAAAACATAGACGTGAAAAGTTGAATAAGAAACCACTCATTAACGACACTTAGCTATTTAAGCTAAACAATTCATTTTTTTTTTTTGTGTATGTAATGTTTCGA